GTATTAAAAACTTTGATACCTTTGGTGAAATAAAGCCTTGAAATTTTGACTGCAATTTCACAAAATTGAAAATATTTCAAAAACGGTAAGGTTTAAGTGTGATAAACTTTAATCAAATTTACCTTTATTTTAATCGTAGAAACTAAAAATGTAATAATATACAGGGTGTTCCATTTAAAAAAAATACAACTTTGATATTTTTTTATTTATTTCGGACACTCTGTATCTTGTAAAAATATTTTTAAATTGTAGCTCTAATAGTCCTGCAACGAACCCAAAACTTACAATTTGTAAAAATCTAATCGTTTAGCTACAATACTCCGTGTCGTATGTGGTGAACAACCCTGTATATATTTACTTTGATTAAAAGAAAATACCAGTCCATCTCTGAATCCACTACTACTTCGAACAATGTTAATAACAAGTATGGAAATTTAAAGAAAAAATACTGTGTCATCTCTCATTCATATTCGAAAACTTTTAAATTAGTTTATTGTTGCATACGGATTGATCCAATTTAACATCTCGGTAGGTAAAACATTATTTAAAACGTCAGCTCTATGCCGTGGGTAGAGCCGGGCTAGGGATGTTCATATTTAAAAACTATCGATATTTTGTATATTAATATTTAAAGCAAATTATCGTTATTATTCAGTTTGGCCAGCCCCCCAGAGCTGGTATACCTTAGAAAATTGTAAGAATCATAAAGACATTCTAATATGAGGATCAACGTTCAGTCTTGCAAAAAAGTCAACGAAATGTTCAATGAATTTACTCCGTTGACTTTGTAGTTTTTAGGGTTCCGAGTAAAAACGGGAACCCTATTACTAAGACTTCACTATCCGTTCGTCCGTCCGTCCGTCTGTCACTAAGGTCTATCTAGCGAACCGTTATAGCTAGACAGTTGAAATTTTTACAGATGATGTATCTATGTTGCCGCTATAAGAACAAAAACTAAAAACAGAATTAAATAAATCTTTATAAATAAAAAAGTACTTTCACTAAACATTATCTTTTAAGTAAGACTTTTACATAGAATCTTTCAAGTCCTCGGTGGCCGCGTGGTTAAAGCGTTAGGACTTTCCGCTGCTATGACGTTGGAGCCGTAGTAAGGCAAGTTCGAATCCTAGTCAAGGCGACTTTTTAATAGTTTTTTTTAATTTTGGCGAAATACCCATAGGACTTTTTTGAACATAAATATAGAAAATAAATCGATATTTTGATATATCGATATCTTTACACATTTCTATGCCAGACCGTGTGCCCAAGGAACCGCATTAATAAAGATAACTCAATTAAGATGAGTCTCCTACCATCCATTAGAAAGCAATATTACTTCGCCTACTGCTTCCTCGGAAATTTGCTTTGAATAATAATAAGTTCATGGTAAAGATGAGGAGGAGACAATCAAAAACAATTAGTTCGGCGCTGGTGAAATTTCTTTCGGTTTTGATTAGCCTAGGAAGATGGCTCGTGCCTACGCTATAAATTTAATCGGTTTATTGCGTGTAGGTAATACATGATTTCATTATTATGTGGGTAATTACATAGACGGAATGAGAAAAAATTAATGTATGAAAATGTACAGGGTGGGTCAAACTCGACGCTTTTAAATGGAAACACCCTTTTCTATAGGAGATTGACAAAAACTAATATCGGTGTCTGGAGCCCAATTTTTGTCAAAAACCTGATGGTGAAAACTGCATATCGATATCTGTTACCGTTTCGGAGTTACAAGTTTTTCAAAAATATGCATTTCTAACAAATCGATGTAACTTTTTTGCTATGGAAAATTTTGTATTTTTATGAAAACATTTCCAAAGCACCTTTTTACGTCGAATTTAATGGTTTAAGTATAATTTTTTTAAAATTAATAATTTAAGAATTATCAACAGAAAATTTGATTTTTTATATGGGACACCCTGTATATTTTTAATTTATTGAAAAGAATTTAAAATTACCTTTCCAAAAATATAACCCACTTGATATTTTGCTCGATTCCTCTTCGAGATTATAGTATATATAAAAATTCGCCCGCTTTAAATAAGTAGGCTTTGAACGGCACCGGCGGTAATGCAAAAAAATTCTAGCTGTGAGCATCAGTTAAAACAAAAATAATATTTGCTATGAGAGATGCAGAATTTTATAACAATTTAAACTATATTTAACCAACATCAACACATTTAAACTATGTCTAATAACAATAAAAATAAATAGCAAACCAAGACTTGAGATTTTGCTACAGGTGTCCGACTTATCGACAGTCTTCTGTTATGGACAGACGGGGCAGTTTTGAACATTTCTCGCGGAATTCCTTAACTCAGTAGGGATGAAAAATACCCTCTCATAACTGCTAAGTATTTCTAATTCTTGTCTAGATTATACGAAAGAATAAGGAACCTTTATTCTCCCGCAAATATATCCATAGGATTAGATCCATGGGCACTAAGTCAGGCGGCCTGGACGGTCAACGGCTGGGATCATGGTTAGCTCTTCAATTATTCTTGAAATTGGCTGCAAAAATTTGCTGATAACTTCAGCGTTCAGAGGCGGAGCGTCGTCTTGCTGGGAAAATATGTTTTCGAGTTCCATTAAAGGCATATCATCAATAAGGGGTCCAAAGCCTACTAGTTAAAAGTGGCGAACTTTTAAAAATTCTGTATTTCGTAGGGGATTATAACAAAATATCAAGTGTGCTATATTTTTGGAAAGGTAATTTTAAATTCTTTTCAGTTAATTAAAAATATAGAGGGTGTCCCAAATAAAAAATCAATTTTACTGTTGATAACTCTTAAATTATTAATTTAAAAAAATATATACTTAAACCATTAAATTCTACGTAAAAAGGTGCTTTGGAAATGTTTTCATAGAAATACAAAATTTTCCATATCAAAAAAGTTACAGCGATTTGTTAAAAATGCACATTTTTGAAAAACACCCCGTAACTCCGAAACGGTAACAGATATTGATGTACGGTTTTCACCATCACGTTTTTGATGAAAATTGAGCTCCAGACACCGATATTAGTTTTCGCCTATCTCGTATAGAAAAGGGTGTTTCCATTTAAAAGCGTCGAATTTGAGCCACCCTGTACAAAGATTCTAGAACTTTTAAGAACTATTAAATCTACAGTATGTCCCCGGATTGAATTTACAAGAGGAAAAGCTTTTTTATTATTAACATTTTGAGAAAAATACATTCTTCGTAAAAGTTTTTGCTAGTTCTAAAATGGTTAATCCCGTTTATACTTTTCAAAATTTCCATACCGTTTTAGAGAAAATTGCAAAAAAACATGAAAATAAGCTTGAAATTTTATATGGAAATACAATTTCGATTTCATTCATTGATAGATTGTTATTGACAAAATTTTAATTAATATCATATTTGTAGCTGTTTTAAAATGTTAAAGAAGCACAAAATTTATTTAGTTCAATGCTAAGAAAAGGGAGATAATAGTTATCGGAAAATGTATTACTTTAACAACAGCAAAAATTATGACGTTAATCAAAATTAATAATAACTAGTTGAAGCCTGGCGCATCCGCCATGACATCAGAAAAAACATACTTTTTATTTTTTTTTAATTAAATGAAAAACAAAAAATCCGGCGACGACAGTTTTTAGAAGAGCAAATTAGCTATCTTTTAGTAAAAAAAGCAACTTTCTAGAGCAAGTCGTTCCTTCAGTAGAGACGACACAGATAAACATTAGTATTTTATATATGTAGATTATCTATCAAAGAATGAATAAAATTCAAGCATATATTTTCATGTTTTTTGTAATTTTCTCTAAAACGGTATGGAAATTGAAGTCTAGAGATTAACTTCGCCAAAATTAATATCGATTGTCATTCCCAGCCTTCTTTGAGGCGTTTTTTTTTCGATCATACGCTATACAGGGTGTTTCAAAAAAAATGTGCCATCTCTAGTGAGGAGATTTCTCACGTAAAAATAAGATTTATTTTCCATATCAACATATATCCAATTCTGCTTTGTTTCGTAGCTACAGGGTGCTAAATTCTTAATAATTTTTCGATTTATTATAATTTTCTTCCAAGTACTTTTAGCGTTTCGAATAAATTTTGAGAGTAAAAGTAACTTTAAATGCGACATATTTTAAAGCTAAAAAAGTGTCGATATATTCACCAGAGACGTCTATATGGGTTATCACTGGAATATTTTTTTAAAGAAGCATGTACGCCACTGACCTTTTTTTTCTCTCGTTAGCAAAACAGTATAAACAGTTTAATGCCGATTAAAAGTTATCTCTTGATATTTTGTCGATTTCCACCTCCTTGATGAGATAAACCCAATTGCAATAATTTGCCTGAATTCAATTTTAATAGCAACCTTTAAAAAAAATTAATATGATTAACTTGCGAATGTTTTAAATCAGTACTCCATTGATTCCTCATCAAAATATATGAAAAAAAGTTCCTATAAATATGAGTATGGAAATGCACAGTTTTAGAGTAACAGAGGATGTTAAAACATTTTAAAATTAGTTTTTTGTAATTATTATCTTAAATACCATAATTTTTTATTTGAAATTGCTGTAGGTTGGACTGGTTGGTAATAGTAATAATAACGAATGGTAATTATATTTAATAATAAATTAGGTAAAATATATAATTCATTAATTTTATTTCTATTTTAACTTTATTAATTGATCAATAAAATTGGGTTTCTCATCAAGGAAGTCGTATTCGACAAAATACCAAGAGATAACTCTTAATTGGCATTAAACCGCCTACACAATTTTGAAGAAAACAAAAAAATTCAGTGGCGTAGCGTTTTTTAGACTTTAGCACCCTGTAGCTTCGAAACCAAGCAGAATCGGACCTAAGTTGATATAAAAAATAAATTTTATATTTACGTGAGGAATCTCCCCACGAGAGATGGCACATGTTTTTTTGACACCCTGTATAAGTATTTTATTACGGTAGCGTTAGTCTTAAAGATTAAAAATAAAAATGAAAAAAAGAGATGAGAAAAAAAATAAAAAATGGACAATTTATTCATTAAGCAAAAAATACAAAAATAAATATATTTTATTGTTATGAGTCAGTGTACAAAAAAAATTTAAACTTATTTCCACTCTACACTCTCCATACTCCATTTTTGACTATTTCTTCCATCACAATTCGTAATAATCAGACCATCCTGCATTTTCTTCGATACTGAGATATCTAAACACTTCTGGTTTGTCGAATGTCTCAGTTCTTTAGTCTGTAACAATTAACAGTAACAAAATAAACTATTTGACTTTGTTTTTAAACCTTTTCACTTACATGTTTATTATATTCCCATTTTTGTCTGGAATATCCGCTGCAAGCAATAATCCTCACTTTTAAGGGTCCTAATCCTGTTTTCTCTGGAGCATCCAGGCAAATCGAATCATCGGTCATGATAAATCCTTCGGATGTCATCACAAACATTTCTTCTGTTATTCCACTAAGACATCTAAAAATATGTCATAGGGTAAGTTATAGTTACAAAAAAATCTAAAAAACAAGGTCATTTATACCATATTACACCAATATAACACCCTAAGGAATTGTTTGGGAGCGACCACGTATTGAAACGTACTTGGGACACGAAATAACGTATAAGCCGCGATAACCAAACTTGCGAGCTCAACAGACGAATAGGACTGGCTTGGGACAATAATGGATGATCGAAATGCGTTTTCAAAGGACCACTTCCGATATGTTTACAGAGTACATATGTATTCAATCAATGCGTACTACCTGTTCTAACGTATGGTGCGGAGACCCTAACATTAACCAAGAAAACATTAAGCAAAATCAGAATAACGCAAAGAGCAATGAAAAGATCAATGTTGGGGCTATCTCTCAGAGACACAGTACCGAATGTCGAAGTACGGGGGGCGGGCGAGACAGAACAAAAGTCATGGATGCCATAGAGAAAATACTAGTTTCAAATGGAATTGGGACTTGTTGTAGACAACTGGTTAAAATGTGACTTGCACATCGAAGTATATCAAAGAAACTAAGCGCTGCCTGTTTTGCGCTAAGATCAGTTTCTAGGGAACTTAGATTATCAATCTCTTAACAATAGTCTATTATGCCCTTTTTGAGAAGTTATGGCAGCAAACGACGGAGGTAGGTCCAGCAGTGGACTTTAGTGGCTTGTTGAAGATGATAATTGCCCCAACGTTGATCTTTCAATTGCTCTTTGCTTTATTCTGATTTTGCTTATTGTTTTCTTGGTTAATGTTAGAGTCTCTGCACCATGTTCATGTTGTAAGAACAGGTAGTATGCATTAGATAACGTACTTTAAATGGATAGTGAGAGGAATCTAATACCTACAAGCAAGTTAACACACCAAGTACCCTGAAAAAAATTTCTTTAAGTCATTTTTAGTTTCTATTACACTGTTATTGCATTAGTTCTGTGCAATTGCTAGTGTTACTGTGTATAATTAAGCAAAACTTACTTGTCAATAGTAGCAAGTCCCATAGGCTGATTAGACAATCCTTTCCTTTCAGGCCTCAGAAGACACAAATCTTCATCAATGTTCCTGATTCTCCCGAAAAATCTGTTGGTTTTGGGAAAGAAATGTTGCGGCCAAACGTTGTCCAGGTACCATTCGAAATTCTGACATTTCAATCGCTCTCTTAGCTGCAGTCTCGCAGTGACGTTTTGGTCGTCCTTCATTAATCTCGCTTGCTCGTTGAATTTGAAATAGAAATTAGACCACTGGTCCATCCAAACCAAAGCCACACGAGCCAGGTTTGCAAAAAGAGTTTTAGTTATACCTAAAACAATATTAATAAATAGTAAAATTGAACTATTTTATCGACGAATTGTGTAATTTTTTAAATCATGTAATTTTATATACTCTGCATAGATACTCTACGATAGTTTTTTTTTTCAGGTAAGATTTCGACAAACGATGACAGAAGAAAAGCAGATGACGTCCATGCTAATCTATTTATTTTACTAAAAAAAAATTCTAAATTTTTTTAAGCTAACTATGGATGGGTTTAAATATAAATCCGTCATGCGTCGTCTCTTGTTGTTCTTTACCAGTTTTATTGATTTATTTCAAAAATGACAGATCATATTTCAATTTTATTGGCTTGACGGAACGATGAAGGACAAACGGAAGCCGATGCGTATGAACTCGCTGTTAGATTTTTTAAGGCTTGTCAAAGTCTTGCCGAATTATAGGTTATAATTTTGTGTCAACTTATGTCAAATACCCTGCGTTTTGGAAGATGACGGATTTTGATTCGTGTTATTACGTGTGTTTTGTGTCTTTTGAAGTCAAGTGGAGGAAAAATCCAGTGAAATTTAACTCTAGACCCAGAGCACAGTTTATAGTTAATAGTTAATACTCGGTGCAGGAATCTATTTGATAAATTTGTACCTATATATTAAAATTTGCTATCATTGCCCCCTCCCCAACGTTTAATATTTCAATATAATAATATGTTTTTGTTATTTTATATGGATAACATTTAAAGTTTTTCTAGCCATGCCAAAATTTTAATTTTAGCGTAGACACAAAAGAGTATATAGTAATTGTTTCTTCTATTCCTGTACTAACCAAGTATCTGGAGTATAGTTTTGGGTCAATTTTTAGTAAATAATGCTTAGAGATTGACCTCGCCAAAAATTTTATCGATTGTCGGTCCCCAGCAGTCTTTGACATTGTTTTTTTTTTCTATTATCCGGTATTTTTAGTTTTAGTATCACAAAATTAGCTCTTTTCTAAAATGTGTTTAAACAACAATTATTTATACATACCTCCCGGAAAAGAATATGGAGAGGATTTCCTAAAGATGTGTCCAACATGTGAACATGGAGCTATTTCAATTCTTCCACCGCATTGCCACACTCTAAAATTATATATAATATATAAATATAACATGTTTAAACATAATCAATAATCTATACCTATACAAAGTAAGTCTTATATATATATATATATATATATATATATTTGATTTTATATATATATATATATATATATATATATATATATATATATATATATATATATGATTTGATTTTATATATATATATATATATATATATATATATATATATATATATAATATATATATATATATATATATATATATATATATATATATATATATATATATATATATATATATATATATATATATATATATATATATATATATATATATATATATATATATAATATATATATATATATATATATATATATATATATATATATATATATATATATATATATATATATATATATATATATAATATATATATATATATATATATATATATATATATATATATATATATATATATATATATATAAGTAAGTCTTATAATACAAAGTTAAAAATAAGTCTTATAATACAAAGTAAGCACTTATTTAAAGTGCAAATATTTTTAAGGGTAGCATATTTCGACCCCAGAAACACGATTATGGTTTTTTTTCTCGAAAAATATTTGAAAATTTCGTGATAATATGGCAAGCATAGCTAATGGCAAATAATATAGCCAGTAGATTAAATTTTACAAGGAAGAAACCCCAGAAAAGATCCAGTGGCTCTCAAAATTTAAACAAAATTTTTTTTACAAATTTTAAATTAAAATAACTCGGTTATTTTGGACTTATTTGAAAAACGGTAAAGAAAAAATGTGTTTCTTTTATCGAGATCTACCAGCCCCGAAAATATTTGCACTTATTCAAGACTCACCCTGTATAATATAGATCTAAGTATACATAATTTGTTTTAAAATATCTTTTCCTACGCATTATAGACCTTCAGCTATAAGGATTTAATTGTATAAAAAATTAAACAGCTTAACAGAAATCCATAGCTAATTATTTAAGAATTTGTTGGGTATATAAAAAAATAAAATCCATTATCAGGTTCTATGTTATGTCGAAAAAATAATTTAAATATACAGGGTGTCCCAAAACAAATTGTAAAAATATTAAGGGATTGTTCCTTATCAAAATAAAAAGCAAGTATATAGCTAGCGTTCTAAAAGACATATACATACCTAAAAGACATTTCCAAGTTTTCTCCACCCCATACGTTCATATTTTCATCATACGATCCAATTTCAAAGAAATATCGTTTATCTATAGCAAAAAGTCCACCAGCCATGGTGGGTGATGGAAATGGCTTGGTGGCATCTAATTTTCTTTGTTTCAACTCACGTCCACCCAAAGTATACCATCTACAAAAAAAATAGATAAAATAAAAAAAAATGATTGTTTCGCCTGAAAAAATAAATTCATTAATTATTAGCCGACTAGGAAGGCTATGAAGATCGGCAAAAAAAAAAGTTTTTTTAATTTCACTCAAAAGGAGTTATTTGGGTCATAAATGACCTAAATACAAAATATTTTCATGGTGTCTGTCTGTCTGTCTGTCCGTCTGTCCGTCTGTCCGTCTGCCGTCTGTCACACGATAACTCAAAAACCGCTGAACCGATTTTAACCAAATTTGGCACAAAAATACTGGGGCACCTGAGAATCTGGCCATCAGTTTTTGGTGAGGGTGGGGGTTGGTAAGGGGGTATGGGAGGGGGTATGGAAGGGGGTATGGGAGGGGGTATGGGAGGGGGTTAAAAATTAAAAAAAATCGTAACTCCAAAATTACAGTAGCTAGCGAAACGCGGTTTTCAGATTAAGATTAGGAATAATATTTGCAACAAAATTTGTAATAACATCAAAATCAGTCAAAGTCGCAGTTTTCGAGATATTAAGATATTTCAGTATGGGCGGCTATACGTGCCTCCTGGCACCAATTTTTTTTTAATTAATCAAAATTAATTATTTTTTAGTTAATTAAAATTAATTATTTTTTATTAATCATTTCGGCGAATAGAGAAAGCGGTTTAGACATTTTTTAATAATTAATTATGATAGCATCTACCTGAATTGCAGATTCCAGTTGAAAGCTCCCCAATGCAACTCAAAACTTTTTATATACGCAAACGAATCATCGTGAATGATGTCAATCACAGGACATGCCACGGTTTTTCTATTGTTCTTTATCACAGACAGTAAAGCTTCCAACCAACCAATGGTACACTCACAGTGAGCATCCAGAAATGTCAAAGCATCACCAGAAGCTATTGCGGCACCTTTGAGTCGAGCCTTGATCAACCCAATTCGAGATTTGCTTCTGATGAGTTTTGTTTTGACTGGAAGTGTGAGCAGGTAGTCTTCAAGAGGTTTTCTTAGGAATTCTGAAATAAAAAAAAATCCAGTCACCAGTTTGTCAAGAAAATATTTAATATTTTCTATGTCCCCTAATATGAGACAAAGTTGGCTGTATATTTACTGACTAAATACTAGCATTAAAACAAATAGAAATGAAAATTCACACGCATTTAAAAATTTCAATATTATTAATTATTCATTATCAGTTATTGGTACTGTTTTGTATTGGAAAAATATATTCATCCTGAAGAATTATTACTCAAAAATACTGATATATGTTACCTCTTTCGCTAGCGTCATCAACTAAAATTATTTCTTCTACCAGCTCTTTGGGAGATCTATTTATAACACTCCAAACAGTGCGTAACAGTGTGGACCAGGCTTCATTATGAAACACAATTATTATACTAGCTTTGGGATAAGAAGTGTAGTCTTTATATAGTAAACTACATCTAAAAAAAAATAAATTTTCTAAACTTATTTTTTATAGAATTAATAATTTGACAATACCTTTTTCTTCTAAAATCTGGCAGACTTCTGTTTAGAGGTATTTTATCACTAGCTAACAAGTTGAATCTGTTGATTTGGAACAGTTGCTGCATTACGAGTAAATCTTTTGGTTCAGTCATAACAGGGTTGCCATTTCTTCCAGCATTTGGTTGGGGGTCAAATTTGTTTTCATTTAACATATCGTAAGATGCATTCGGAATTGTTCTTGCCGGATTTCCTACATAGTGCCCTATAACTACCTTGATACCGTTCTTATCTACATATTCTTCTTGATTTTCTCTAAAAGATAAAATATCTTATTTTATAGTAATTCACACTCTTAATTTTTTTTTAATTATATCAGTCAAATTAATCTACAGGGTTGTTCACGCTATTCGACACGAGTATTGTAGCCAAATGATTCCTTGGGTATTTTGATAAAACAGGAGGTCTGTATAAGGTAGTATTATTTTTATTATTGCAACACAATATATAGTTAATAGAAAACCTTAATTATAAAATATTTGGTTTTAAAAATTTCAATACACTTAGAGAAATAAAGCATTAAAATTGTTGCTACATTTTCTTCTGTATAAAAATGGACATTTTGAACTAAATATCTAAGTGTTAACAAATTAAAAAGTAGGTAGTGCTGACTAACAAACCGTACCACAGCTATAATTTTGCTAAATTAAAACTACTTCCATTATTATATTATTTATTTACTACCAACTTAAGATTTACCGTTTAGAACATGCTTGTTACAGTAAATACTTACCTAAAAATGTGTTTGGGATGTATCTCGTTGTTCTTAGATCTAAACCTCCATATTAACAAAAATATTACAGTTAAACTAAATAATGTAACAGGCAAAACTTTCCTACATCTTCTGAGTGGTCCAGGTATCATGTTACTATCACAAACAAAATAACTTTAATACAATAACAACATTTATATTCATTTGGATAATGTGAACGTAAATTTTAATAAAATGATTTTGTATAGCGAATATTTAATATTCCAAGACATTGCAATTGAATTGTGTCGCCAATAACATGTAAAAACAATAAAGTATTTACTAGAATTATTTTATTATATCTTCCGCAAAAAAATAGATAACAATTTGGTGACCTTTATGACCTATGTTGGATGATTCAAGTTTCTGAACAATAATCAACAAATTAAATACAAACAAAAATAATAAAATAAATATTACTTCATAAATCAATCAATCCTAATTAATAATTACACAAGAAAATACTAAAATTGGTATTTACTTCCTATTTCTATATTATTCAAATTTAAATAGCATGTATTATGCAACCAAAAATACAATGTTCTACAAATTCCTCTAGCTACTTGATCTGTTAACTCTATAGATGGCGACACAACTTCAGAGAAGCAAATGTTTTGATTCGTACTTGTTTGTATATTTTCCACTTTCTGTTTCTTCCCAGTACTTTATGAAATGATTTTTCAAGTAAAAAAATGAGTAGAAGCGGTACATACCAAAATATGAACTGTTAAATACATCTTTTTGCACTAAAATGTAAGTAGCACCATTGTATTAATCGGCTGATCGGCGCGTTGACCTTGCAAGTACTAGTAGTAGTAGTACCCTGGCCACTGATGATGGCTAATGGAGATGGTTCTCCAAGATATGCGACTATGAATGGGGATCTTTGCGTGTTTCAATCCCCCCTTTTAGCTCTGCTTTTAGTTGTAATCGTACCATCAATAACTGTGTATAATTAAATATTACAAAAATATAGTACCAGTATACAGAGTAATATAAAATTGTTTATACAGAGCAAATTACATTACAGAACACATACCTACTGAGAACTTTTTGGCTTTGTTGTTTATTTCTTTTAAAAAAGTCGTCTTTAAAAACAAATTTTTCTATATTTGAATATTTAATCTTTTTTTAGTCATTTTGTTTCAGCGTCATGATTTTCGAAATACCTACTTGTTTGTTAACATTTTGGTGAAGGTAATAGTATAAATATAACTAATAGTATCGGATATTTTGCTGCTGTATTGTTATTGTTATTTAAATGTAATGTCTATAAATAAAAAACCATCATCTTGAAATCAAATTTCTTTATTTTATATTAAATTATTAAAAATTCTAAATAAATGTGGACGCTAGGACTAGCCATAACATTGTTAAATACATTGTATTTCTTTCTTAAATGTCTGTACAATAATATATTTTTATTTAAATATATAAATCAAAAATAATATAGAACATAGGTATATTACTTATATATTATATAAAGGAAGTGGGTGTGGAAAAAATAGAGGGGGGGGGGAGAGGGGGTAAATAAAGGATGAGTTTCCGGTGATGATATGAATAAACCTGATATAATATTATTTGAAACATGCGATTTTATTTAATATATATGTAATGTATGTAGTTTTAAGGAATTATATTTATATAAAAATGGCAGTATAAGATTTGGTCTGTATTATGTGACAAAGTTAAATCAGACTTGAAACTATAAAGATTTCTTACATTTTTCAACATAAGTAAATATCTTTAGTTAAAAGTCTGAAATAGTAAACTACAATATTATACCTATATATTTTAGAACATTGATATAATAATTGAAGCAAAAAGTCTTTTATTTTAGTTTAAAATTTAGAATACACACGTATAACATTGATAATGGTTTAAAAATGTCGTTTAACATATTGCCTAATAACAAGTTTCTTATACAATTTTGACTCTGGTACATTTTATATTTTAATTTTTAAATGAACAAACTGCCTCGAAACGTTTCTGTATTTTTTTATTAAAATTTGGTCACTTCAAAACTTAATATTGTAGTATGTTTTGTAATATACAGTGTTACAAATAGCAGAGGGACCAAACAAATGTTTCGATGATCAAAAATAAATCATAAATCATACATTTGATAAAATAATCTCATTTTTAACCATACTGTATACTAATTGAGTTTGGTCCATGCAATTTTGGACAACCTGTATGTACCTATTTACCTTTTATTGTCCTAAATATAAGAGATATACGTATAGAATTTTAGATAAATATTAGATTATATCTTAAAAGTCATTTGGTGTCCCGTCAGAATCCAGATATATATTAATAATTCCTAAAATTTGATTTTTTTTAATATGTAATCTCATATCGTGACGTTTATATTAAATTTCATCTATTCAAACATTTAAAATTTCGGGGGAGCACCTATAAATATATTAACTTGCTCTTCTTAACCGTTGTTTTTCGTTTAAAAAAAAAACAAATATCACAAAATACAAATTTGAAAAGATTTCCCTTTTTGATTATCCTATATAACAAATGAGATGTATGTACAAACTAAACAAAAATATAACAAAAAAGGCAAATTGTATGTATTTGTATATGTATATGGTTATAATACAAGCCTAATTCTTTAAGAGTAACACACACGAAGAAAAATAAATATAATATCTGTACAAAAAAAATCGATATGCGTCCGTATCGAAAAGTTTAGGCTTTGTCTTTGACTAATCGTGATGGAACACTTAATGGTAATCATTTTCTTCAGGTATAATTTTATATACTATAAAAAAAACTTATACATAACATAGAATACATATAAAGTAGATTTTACAAATGCATAGGGTGATGTTAAAATGTTAATATACAGAATGAGTATTGGGAAATTTATGAAAAGTAATGTACAGGAAATTCCATCGAAGGGAAGCAGTCTTATAATTTATGAAGCGATTAAAATGCATTTTAAAAATCACAAAATACAGTATTTTGAAATAATAAAATTATTGCCAACGATTTAAACCTACTTAAATATAGGTAGTATTAATTTATATAAGGCAGTATATGATGCTTTAAAATCTTTATACAAAATAAATTAAAATTTATTTGGTGTGAAGCAAATTGAAAAGAACAAAAAATCATTTCTCTCGTGCAAAACTCAGCTTCCCAATTTTTTTACACACACATATATAGTTAATTGACAAGAAATATGAGAAAAAGGAAGTTTTTTCATAAATTTCCTGCTTCAGAACACAATTTTCATTATTTTTAGTAGCACCATTCCTATCTATACTTCATCAGTATCACACATCATCAGTCATAGTGCACTCAACAATTAAAAAAGATCCCAATTCTTTAATTTATTTTTTTTATATTTTTTTTAATACTGGAAAGTTTAAAAACATTTCCATGCTTATATAGTACATTTCGTGTGGCAGTAGCCTTAGCTGGTTGGTCATATCAGAATTACTTAATATGTTATTGGCACAAAGAATATTTTTTTTAAAAAAAAGGCACGTTGTGCATTTTCATTTCTGCTCCAATTGTCTCCAAAAATATACATTAAGCAAATTCGAAAACAAACCGTTTAAAGTAATATAGAAATAGCTAAACCATTAAACAGGGTGTCCCAGAAATAAGTGCAAGTATTTTAACTGGTAGTATACAGGGTTGTTCACCACATACGACACGGAGTATTGTAGCTAAACGATTAGATTTTCACAAATTGTAAGTTTTGGGTTCGTTGAAGGTCAATTAGAGCTACAATTTAAAAATATTTTGGGTATAGTGATAAATGAGGCCTAAATTATAAAAAAATGCATTTTCTACGAAAACTTGAAGAGATGGGTAAAAAATGGTACAATAAAATTTGATAGACAATTACATTGTGCATCTGATTTACGTAAAATATATAGGGTGTTCTATTTAAATTAAACAAGTTATTGCCGTTTAAAGCTAGTAATTATTTAATATAAATTTTTGGACACTCTGTATAAGGTAGTAAAATTTTTATTATTGCAACACAATATCTGATCAATAAATAATCTTCAATAAATATTTGGTATTAAAAACTTTGATACCCTGAGAGAAATAAAGCCTTAAAATTTTTCCTGCAATTTCATAAAATTGAAAATATTTCAAAAACGGTAAGGTTTAAGTGTGATAAACCTTAATCAAATTTACCTTTATTTCAATCGTAGAATCTAAAAATAGAATAATATGCAGGGTGTTCTATTTAAAAAAATACAACTATAATATTTTTTACTTATTTGGGACACTCTGTATCTTGTAAAAACACACTACCAATTTAATACTGAAATTTATTTACCTAAGAGACCCTGTATATTCAAAAAATGTTTATCAATATATGAATTATTTGTAATACCAAACCTTACAAACTAAAGAGTACCCTTAGTCAGTAAAGTTTGGTAATACTATATTCCACAAAATATCAAAAGTTTGTTCATATACTGTAATTTATTTAAAACTGAATTTATTATGTTTGATCTGTAATACAAACTTATTGCCACAAAACAGTTCTGAAGAAAAGTTAATTTTTTAAGTTTATTTTCGAAAATGCTTTAGTACTACTCAGTACACTCTACTCAAGCGAGAAAAGAAGCAGACCTCTACAATAGATTAAAACAGAATTGGAATGATTACACTTAACTAACAAACTATATCTCTTAAAATTATCAAATAATAACGTAAAAAACCTAAAGTTACAAAGTTACTTTTAAGCACAGCCTGTACGTGTTACCTCCTATCTCTACATATCTCCTCTTTTACAGTCACTCGATACCAGTGTCCCAAGTAAAAGTTACTCACTTACAAAAATGAAGAAACAGTATGATGCCTCGTCGATGATATCCGTAAAAAACTTCTCAAAAAATATCGTGTAGTATAACTATTATATTAGTATGCTGGTGTAAAAAACGAAATCCAATAAATAAAAACTATCGTTAGAGCTGGGCGTGTTTACAGAAAAAACTATTGTAGATATCACAATTTGGTTTCATTGAAAACAAAAACTTTACACTGGAAAAGAAACAGAGTATAGCTGGAAAACTTCAAGTCCTACAATAAAACAAACAATCTTTCCTGATATTTTTTGCCTTCTTTTCAGTGTGCTTGCTTGGTCAGATATATACTTTTAATTTATCACAAAGCATATATATGTTACGAACAGTACATAGTAGTATTTAAGTGACATTTAGTTCCTTTCTATACTAAATTTGATCAGTCTATACATTAATAATAATAATAATAACATTTTTTTACAATATTAGATTCAATTCTTAATCTTTTTTGGCATATTCAAGAATAAAAGTTTCTTTCCAGCGTTAGATACGTAGAAAAAAAATGTAAAAATTCTAAAATAGAGTTTTTACAGTCGGTGTTATTTGGGTGTGTTGAAGTAACGCAGGACGATGTAGCCCAGTAATCTGAAGACCAGAAAGAACCCCATTAGGACTAAGGTGTTTGCCCAGAGGGGTAGGTACGTGCCTTGGGCTTCTAGGATTGAGGATACAGGTATGTGGTCTGATTCAAGGCAGATTGCGAATTTTGATTTTTCTGCACATCTGAAATAAGAAAAAATTGGTCAGTTTGAGAAAACAATTTAAAAGCAATTTGATTCAGTGGCTCACCTCTATAACTTTTTTATTTTTTTAGATAAAAAAACGAGATTTGGTATGTTAGTATATGGCATAAATTAGGATTGATTGACTTATTCAATTCTTTTCGGTCACTTCCTGTTTCACCGGAAATGACTACAACTTTTCATTTTTAAATAGCACCCTAGGGATTTTTTACTTCATTTGATAGAAAATGACATTCTGAATAGAATGATAAAGCATATCGTCGGTGAAATGTGATAAACTGCTAACTCCATTATTCCTAATTTTACAGGAGAGCAAAAAAACGGTACAAAAAAATATGTACACATGTAGGAAGTATTTTCATGCGTTAATATGATAAAGAGATAAGAATTTTATTAGCTGGGGAACAATAAAACTCAATATTTCGTGTTACTTCATTTTTTTCAGACGCAATAGGGAGATAGCAGATGTTCGTCTTGCAGAAATAAGAAATAAAAATATATTTTTGGAGATAGCAACCTTTATTGTTTGAAATTTTGAAAATGGAATTGAATATTACCCTAACAGATTTAGAAATATTTATAATATCGTCGGTCTAGAAGCAAAACATATAAGTCCAAAAACGAATAAATTTTTAATGCATTTTTAAAGAACTGAAGTAGCAGCATTTTGGACTTAATGAATATGAAAATAATTTAAAAATTAAACTTATAATAATTCTTAGAAGATAGAATCCTTCCATGCTTATCCTAATTTTTTACAACGGCAGTAGACCGAGCTTGGAAAACAGTGCGGTCATTATAGGATGAAAACAGCGTGATTTTATTAAATTTTTATTACTTTTCTCCTTATTTTTTTAATTTTTATAAAAATTATGTATCGTTTAAGTGGAAAAACATTGAAAATAATAAAACTGATTAGGTATTATAGAAATTCTTGTACAAGTAAGGTAATGTTAATTAAACTATTTATAGCACGCCGATGAATTGCTCGTATATAGAGAATTTCGTTTTTCCCCTTACCCTTAACGGATACCCCGTATTTACAAAATAACGGATCGACGCAGGGTCGGACTGGCCGTATTGTACATATAACTAGGGGGGCCCCAGCTTTCGCGGGCCCCCTTTATAGTTCATTATTTATTCTTAACAATATTTGCTTTTGCATTGCATTATGGCATTTGCATTGCATTGGTTTACCTTGCATTAGGGTAGTTCCCTGATTTCTATACAGGGTGAGTGTTAAGTAAGTGCAAATATTTTCAGGGCTGGTAAATCTCGATAAAAGAAGCATAATTATTCGTAAAAAAATGCTTTTTCCAAATATGCTAATGAGCTACCTCGTTCAATTTGAAAAAATTGAGATATGATTAAAAATACGATTTGGGCATCTTTTAACCGGCCAGGATAAAACACGAAAAACATTAGAGGATCAAATCTATTTTTCCAAAACTCCCTGATTAAATATTAGTGATTTTAACACAGCCATGACACTCTAGATTGAAAAATAAAATACGATTTTTTTAAGCGAGAATTTCAAAACCTGTCATATGATATGGCATTATATTCAGAGTGCCATTTTATATCAAATAAAGTAAAAACCGAGGGTGTCATTTAAAAATCAAAATTTGTAGTCATTTCCGGGGAAACAAGAAATGGCCGAAAATATTTGAATACGTCAATCAATCCTGTCATATGCCACCATACCAAATCTTGTTTTTTTTTAATCGAAAGAATAAAAAAGTTAGAGAGCCACTTTTGGACCACTTTTGAGACGCACCCAGTATAGCCATGATGAATCAGTATCATTAAAACATCCTTTATCAACAATAGTTATAAAGAATCATATACTAATCCAATTAAAAATTCAAACCATGGTTTTCGATGATTTTTTGATATTCTTTATCATGGTTATTCATGATTTGTTATTACTTATAAGACTATAGAAAATACTAATTCCTGACACATAGAAACTTGAAACCACTGCTAGATTTTTTTAAGAATATATAATAAAAAAACTGGTGGTATAGTCTGTAAAACGAATAACTTTGAATTTGACAGTTCCCGCGGGCTTTTCTAGTGTTAATTTTATTAGGTTAGCAACTTACGGCCATGCTGACGCAATGCCGTCTCTAATAGAACAGCCTCGGAGCGAGATTTATGACGTCACGCTAGTTAGATACTAGGGATTAATAAATATGTTGTAGAATACATGGAAAACATAATTATTCCTCGTATTTTTGGTTACATTGATTATGGCTGAAATCGTACTCCATAGTCAATGTAGATAGTTTTAGTGTTAAGAATAATAATTTTAAAAAATATGTGGTCATCTTTTGACAAGTTTATATTACTTTATTAATTGCAGTAAACATTATGTGGTGTTAGGTTAGATTGTGAATATTTTATATGTAATTTTTTGGATTATATTCGACACTATTTTTTTCATATGACACAACATTGATGAAGGCTATAATGTTAGCCAAAAGGTTTTTTTTAAACCAAAAAAATAATGAAAATCCAAATGAAAACTTAATCAGAGTTTTTCCCGAACCTAAATTCCAAAAAAATCAAAAATTTTAGAATAATTTTACATATAAAATGACAGCGATCTTTATTTCATATCATCGCTGACGCCTTGATATTGTATTATTTGCAAATATAATTTTTCGAACATTGATACTTGCAAAATATACATATAAATTTTGTGAATGCAAATAATAATACATTAGTAGATACTACTATTAGTAGATATTGAATGTTTTTTGTTAAATTAGATCGATTTTCAAACCCCAAAATTTATAATACATTTTACATTTTACCTATTATCTTATGTACCTATTCATTATATGTATATTGTAAATCTTTGCTGCATTTGTATGGTTCATAGTTTATTTGCCAAAGTATTTATTGCTAGAAATACGTATATACATTGTATTTATTAACTGTATATTATGTATATTTCATGTAAACTATATCATTTTTAAAATACAAACCAAAAATACGAGGAGTAATTATGTTTTCCATGTGTTCTACAACATATTTATTAATCCGTAAGTATCTAACTAGCGTGACGTCATAAATCTCGCTCCGAGGCTGTTCTATTAGAGACGGCATTGGTCTGATATTTAGAAATGTCAAAAGCTGGGTGACATTTTACTTTTGACAATTATTACATTTTGTGTTGATATTTGCAAGAAAAGAAAGAACTGTCACTTGTTTTATTATTTTCCTTTTCTATTTCACGAAGAGTTACCTATCTGATTCGTTCAGGCACTCAATTTAAAGAATATCAGTAACTTTTTTGATAGAGGGATTTTATATTTGCCATGTTGGTAAAAAATAACGGTCAAAATTCAAAGTTATTCATTTTATAGACTATACCAGACTATACTTTAATAATTAGATTGCAATTTGTGTTAAATTAAATATGGAGCAGTAAAAATGTTTTTCACGAAGATAGAAACAAATTTACTTACAATATTGGTAATCCATCACTGAACTCCACTATCTGCATATTTTGATACGCGTAGTGTACCATGGACGTGTACCTCATCCACGTCAACCACGGTGGGATGTTTGTTGCTAAATATCCTCCAAATAGCTGTGTCGCTAACGTGTATAGGGCACTTATCGTTATGCTCACCTAGAATTAAAGAAAAACAGGTAAAAATATTTTTTTATTTTAATTATAGGCATAGCCATGATCCAACTGGATAGCTATGCACATTTTCCAGATTTTCATATTAAATTTGTAAGTATATAGCTTATTATTGAATAAGTTCTGCTACAGATATATCAGAAAAAGAGAGAATTTAAATTTAAATGGTGTTTAATAACACTTACTTGCATATCCATGCAACAAGCTCCAATGAAGAAACCCACACTTTGTGCTACTATTGTGTTTAGTAATAGGAAACATAGTAGAGTAAGGAACACTAATGGTGAATGGAAACCTACAAAAAAATACATTATAATTATAATAAACACATCAAAATAAGAAATAAACTTAATTTTTATCTACATTATAAATATTTGTGTTAAAAGTACCAACGATTACAGACTGGCATATAAAAAACTTGCTAAAGTATTACATTTAATTACATAATTTTGAACAAAATATCTTGTACCAACTAAAGAAAAAGATGGTCTATGAGAACGTGCTAATTCTCATATTGAAATAAACCTACTTTGTCATAATACTATTTTTGGGTAGAAAAAAGTAAAAGTAACTAACTCTGATGGATCGCCTAACGGTAACCTACCTAACATGGGATACGATATTAAATGGTAAACAGCAGGAAGTGTAACTGTTAATGGTAACTCTCCAACCATTTTAGCTAGGTAATAGGCTGACAGTCTGTAGGCTCCCGATCGTCTCTCTTTGTTGATCACTTCACGTTCTGGAGGAACTAGAAAAGGAGAGGGTAATCTTTAAAACTACAGAACATTTTTGCAATATAATAAGCCTTTGAATGTTTCAAATGAAGAAATATTCGTTGTACACCAAACACACACAAATTATGTTATAGAACCCATAATTGCAGATTATGAGTTCTTTAACATAATTTATGTGTGTAACATTTCTTTTAACTTCTAACTCAATTTAATATAGAAATTGAATATGTCCGGAAATTTCGGCAACATATTCTGCAAATAAAAATAAGTAAAAAAGATATAAATGTATGTCCTAAAAATCTTAGTTTTCGAGATACAAGGTGTAGAAGTTTCATTTTTATTTCGAAATAATTTCTGAAGTATTGTTAATATTTCGATGAAAATTGGTGTCTGGAAGTTTTGTGACATGAGAAATTTGATTTTGATGTCACTATTACTCCTACCACAGAATATCTAGCTACGCAACAGAAGCCTCGTTACATGGTTACATGTATAAAATCGTAGGTCTCAAAAGGAGACAGGCTTTTAAAGCCTGTCTCCAAATCAGATATTTTGATGCGGTAGTTTCACTACTACATAACAGAGGGCGATAAATTTAAAAGAAAACAGTTTTCTACAAACGAAATTTAAAAAAAAATTATGCAGTGTTGCCATTGTGTAATTTATATTGTAATACTTCCTGATAAAGCCTACCTTCAAATTTGCTACATCATTTAAACATATTAAAATAGATTAGAGCTCTTTTTTCAAACGTTTAAGTATTTAACTTGCCATGTTAGTTGGAGTTAAATCTTACGAGCTGAATTAAAATCACTTCCTGACGTTTGATTCTACCTGAACCCTGAATTTTGATTGTAATTCGGCGTCAATATAATAAGTATTATTCTACTATTATGACACCACTTCCTGACGTTCGATTGTGTTCATACCGTATGATCGGGATAAAACGGCGTTAGCGATAGCTATGAAATGAAAATCGCTGTCATTTTATGTGTAAATTTATATGGGAAATGTCATCGATCGTCTTTTCCCAGCCAACTGGATGCCGTTTTTTTCGATATCATACGGTATTTGATATATTATACTTGCGTATTTTTCATGACATTGCAATATTATTGTACCATGAAGCATATCAAGGGGTACCATAATGTAGTACCATATTACGATACCAAATCGTTTAAATTGGGCCCAAATTTGATATACTTGTGTTTCTTTATAAAGATTTGTTTAATTAATATAATTTTAATTTATTTTCCGAATTTTAATTTATTGTACGATGTCGTGACAGCAACTTTTATGCCGAACTAATATATTATTAATTGTACCTTTGTCACTTCTGAAAATCTACCTAGGTCTATATAAATAACGTAGCAAACAGAAAAAAATTGTTATTATAGAATTTTTTTAGTCAATTAACATTTTTTGTACTGTATTTTAATAAATTATTTCCATTATTATTAAACGTATATTTCATTACTAACGTTTCAGCATTAATAAATATCACTATCAATCGCCCTGTATATTTATTAAAGTTATTTACTTAGTTAACATAATAAAGTAGTGTATATTAAAAATGTATTTTGAGAGCATATGTTTTCTAATAATATACTTAAAATTAAAGCTATTTTAAAAGCCAAACGAATAATTAATATAAGTGTATCTGACAAGAAACGAAGAATAGAAAGAAATTATTATACACCAGAAAAAGAATGGGATGCCAATTAAAGTCTGTTTGAATCTGGCAACTGTGCATATTTAGGCGAGCTTCACGGCCGTCGACGTGCCGTCGATCTAAAACCGAAAATTCAAAATTTCCAATTATATTCTGATTATGATGTTGTCGCGCCATCTAGTATTTTATTTGTGCAATTTTAGCTCTTTCATTTCGAGTATTTTTCTGTTGCGTAGCTAAATATTCTGTGCTCCTACCTACTTGTAGACGGCGCCACCAACATATCTTTTAACTGGTTTGAAAAATAATAATTTTTTGTCCGTACCTCGAACAAAAAATTATGATTATTCACAAATTCATCATTTCAGTCAAATAACTATGTACTCAGCATGTTTATCTTTTGACAATAATGACATGTATTCACTACTTCCGTTCTAAATATCTTGAAAACGGTTGCTCGTTTTCAAGATATTTAGAACCAAGAGACTTTTTTACGTAAAAATACACAGAAATGTATATTTTTTCACTCAGTAGTTTTATACAGGTACGGACGAAAAGTTATTACTCTTCAAAAAGGTTACAACGCATGTAGGTGGCGCCCCTGCAAATAGGAGTCATATTGACATCAAAAGCAAATTTCTCATGCCAAAGATCTCCCTGACACCAATTTTCATCCAAATATTGACGTTACTTCAAAAATGATTTAGAAAAAATCGAAATAAAAATGAAACTTCTACACCCTGTATCTCCGAAACTAAGTAATTTGGGATATACATTTATACGAACTTTTTTACTTATTTTTATCTGCAGAATGTGCTACCGAAGTTTCCGGAATACAGTTCGGACCACCCTGTATACAGGGCGAGTCTTAAATAAGTGCAAATATTTTAAGGGTTGGAAGATTTCGATAAAAGAAAAATATATTTTCTCTTTGCCGTTTTTCAAATAAGTCCAAAATAACCGAGTTATTACTTTGAAAATTTCCAAAACAAAATGTTTTTACTTAAATTTTGAGAACCACTAGATCTTCTCTGGGTTTTCTTTCTTGTAAATTCAATCTACTAGCTATGTTGCCATATTATGAAGAAATTATGTTTTTAACTAAAAACAAAAAAATGTCCAATTTTTTTTAAAAAATCCTAATTTTCAAATTTGTTTTCGCCAAAAAAAACTCATAATCGTGCTTCTGGGGTCGAAATAAAAACTAACCCTATAAATATTTGCACTTATTTAAGACCTTACCCTGTATAAGCAATATCTGACTAAAGTTTCTTTAATTATTTCAAAGATAAGAATAAGAAGTATGAAAACAATGATTGGTTAAATGTGTATCTAAATCAACGTTAAAGTATTCTCAAAGATATACACTTTGAAAACCAGATTATTTTGTTTCAATTTGTAGTAAAAAGTTTCTATGAAGCTTAACTCCGTAGATTCAAAGCCCACGATATTTTTACACAAAACTAAATACAATAAAAGCATTGTTTTTAACTGATCAAAGTAAATAATGACTTACATGAACTCAGTGCTCCAAAAAGAGCAAACAACATCCAATATGTCGTGGAAAAGAACATCCATCCCTGAATATCATGCAGAGCCTCTTCTCGTCTTTCAAGTTGAAACCATAAAAGTCCCGCTAGTATACCAAGACCTATTGTTTGGACCTAGAAAGATAAGAAACATTCAAATATCAACCATTCTGAACATCTATACTAATATATAAAATCCTTAAGTGACTGACTCACTGGTTAATCACGATCCTGCTCAAACCACTCAACGTAAGAAGCTCAATTTTGGCATACAGGTTGATTCTAGGGTGTAGAGGTTCGATAAGAAGGGATTTTTCGAAATTCCAGTATCACGGGGGTGAAATCACCCCTCAAATATTACAATATTTTTTATTTAAAAAATGGTCAAGTTTCCGAAAAAACGCTTAAACACGTATATTTTATTTTGTTTTTTTTACATATTTTAACATTTTTTAAAAATGTATACAGGGTGTTTCGAGAAACCTGGTCATTGATTAATCACGATCCTGCTAAAGCCTACTACACCCTAAAGACTTTAGGGTGTAGAGGTTCGATAAGAAGGGATTTTTCGAAACTCGAATTCTAAGGGGGTGAAACCACCCCTCAAATATTAGAATCTTTTTTATTTAAAGACCGGTGAGTTTTTCGGAAAAACTCTTAAACACGTATATTTTATTTTGTTGTTTTACATATTTACATTTTTTTATTTTTTGTTAAAATGTATACAGGATGTTTCATAAAATATGACCATTGGGTAATCACGATTCTGCTTAAACTACTTGACGTTTAAAGCTGATATTTGGCAAACGGATTGACTGTGGGGTGTAGAGGTTCGATAAGGGGGGATTTCTCGAATCTCAAATTCCAAGAGAGTGAAAACGCCCCTGAAATATTAAAATATTTTTTGGTATTTAAAAAAAACGGTTAATCTTTCGGGAAAACGCTTGGACACGCATAATTTATTTTGTTTTTTTTTACATATTTTGAATTTTTTTAAAAATCATACAGGGTGTTCCAAAAAGTTGGGTAATTGATTAACCACGATTCTGCTTAAACTGCTTGACGTAAAAAGCTTATTTTTGGCAAACGGATTTTTCGAAAGTCAAATTCCAACGAGATGAAACTACCCCTCAAATATTACCAAGTTATATAATAATATCGCCATATTGTTTTTTTCTCAAGCTGACATAAATGTGAGAAAAATTTATCCAGTTTCTATGTTAATGGAAATTCTTACATTACAAATGATTAATTCGACGCGAACGAAGTCGTGGGTACACGCTAGTATATTCATATTTAAGATGACTATATCGATTACTACTTACCCAATTTAATTTTGATAACATCCTAGGCCTGGCTTCCTGGAAATTTCTTTGGGACAAAACCTTGAACTGTGTCCAGAAACTCGTAGGCCACGAGAAATAACAGTCGCCATCGCTGGTGTCCGAACTGACCGATGACGATGCATGTGAATGTGTATCGAGCCACAATCTTCGGACGTCTGGTTCCATTTGATTTAATGCATCTTCTGTGAACAGTACATCTATCAAAATAAGGATAAAGATGTATGAATTGAGAAACGACTTACGTTCTAAACTAGGATATGGTCCGTGAGTGGGAGGCAATATTTTATGGTCATATTTTTCGGTGATGTATGGGACATCGTGGCATCTTAATTCTATGGGATAATCTTTGTTTTTTCTTGCGTCTTCCGCGGCTTTGATTACTTTTTGGCGGATTTCTGAGTGACCTTTGATTTGTTCAACTGGAATGGAAGAGGAATATTTATTTATGTTAATTTAATGATCAGATACAGAAACTCAAATGTCTTAAGAATGGAATTTTGAGAATCTCTGCTTATCTATAAATATGAATTAGAATTATGAGTCCTGTTATTAAGAAAATAATCATGGCAGTAAAAATCTAGTACCTAACAAGAATATTGTTGTTCAGTGCCAGCTGCTCTTTAAGAGCAAATTTAAAATAGTTTGTCATCTTTTGAGAGTGGATGACCACAAATGACCAAAGAAGTATTGCAGTTGGTACAACTTGATTTTATTTTACAAAAACATTGGCAGCATTGAAAAAAAAGGCTTTGTTAACTATTTGTTAACAAATAAAGGACCTAGTCTCATTGCGTATCTGTTGTCTTCAAAACTCAGATATACCTTAACAGCTACAAAATGATTTAAAAATTCAAAATTGTAAAACATTATAATATAAAACATGTTCACTAAATTTTGTGAACAGCAAGTACAGAACAAATTAACAAAGAACACTTCTGGAATACTTAACAACGCTTGTGTCTAATAAATTCAAGCGATCCATGTAATTCTAGAATTCCAGCTATGCGATAGCGAATATATTGCACTACGTGCTTTACATAACCCATCGAAATATTAGATATAGATATATCTATTTGAGGTAAACATTCAAGACATCTTCAGAGAATATTCGAAATTTTAAAATTACTCTGTCTATAAATTGTTTGTATTTAGTATTAAAACAAAACAGTATTCCCAAATTTATAGAGAAAAAATATCATCCGCTTGTAAAAATTAAGGTGAAATAAAATTAGTAGAAATAAACTTTAGTAGTAGTAGTACATTTAGTAGACAATAGAACAGGAAAAGTACATAACTATAAAAGTTAAAATAAAATAAAAACTTTTAATTAACAAAATAAATGTACTTACGTATAAAATCGGCAGGATTGTAATGAGGCATGATATTCAATCCTACACTGCTAAAGAAGTCTACCACTTTGCACGTATCACCAAAATAGGCTGTTCTACCGTTGCACAATAAAAGGAGTTTGTCACAGAGGTGAAAGATTTGTGATGAGGGTTGATGCAAGGTTATAACCACCGTCTTGCCCTCAGATACTGCATACCTTTTCAGGGTGGTCATGAGGCTGTGAGCTGCATGTGAGTCCAGTCCAGACGTTGGTTCCTATATATCACACCAAAAATAAAAGATTAATTAATGATACTATTAAATATAAGACTTGTTTCCGTCATCATCAATCATATCATAACAGCTTATTCAGTACCCGGCTTATTAATAATTTAAACATAATCATTATTTCATAAATTGGTGGGTTACTAGCATTATAATTTGATTTCTAACATCAGAAGTGGGATATTGCGCCTAACAAGGGGCCCATTGATACTTACGTCTAATAGCATAAGGGATGGGTTGGTGAGTAGTTCGCAGGCTATATTGGCCCTCTTCTTTTCACCACCACTCAGACCCCTTTTCAAGTAGTCTCCTATGATCGTATCCTGGCAATTGTTCAATTCTAGGACATTAATGATATGGTCGACGTATTGCATTTTTTGTGCTGGCGACATAACGTCCGGCAGTCTCAGTCTTGCTTGATATTCTAAGGTTTGTCTATAAAATTCCAATTCGTTATTTAATTTTCGATAGCCATTTTAATAAAAACTATTTCAAAATCTGCATTTTTAGTAGAATTAGTCCATCTATTCTTAGGCCCAAGAGAGATATTCAAAAAATTATAAAAAAAACAATTGAAATAATCTGACAGACAAGAACTGTCACTGTCATATGATATTTACGTTTTGTCTTTGGCTTGACAGACAATAATTTATTGAGCTTACTATGTTATTCATATATTTTTAAAGTAAAATTTAAAAATCGAATACAATAAATATAATTAATTGAATACTTCAAGAAAAAAAAAAGATAAAAATTTAAAAAAAATGGAGATAATAATATGATATAAATAACTCACCTTAAAGTTAGGTCAGGAAAAAAAATATCTTGTTGAAGAACGTAACATATTTTCCTCTTCCACCTTTTGCAAAGTGGATCTCTATTAAAATGAATTTGTCCAGAGTCCAGTTTTAATCTTCCACTGAGACAATTGAGTAGAGTGGTTTTGCCTGCAAATAGAAAGTAAAAATCAACCTGAGATATACAGGATGAGTCTTATATTAGTGCAAACATTTTTAGGGCTGGTAGATCTCGATAAAAGAAAGATATTTTCTCTTAACCGTTTTTAAAATAAGTCCTAAATAACCGAGTTATTTTACTTCGAAAATTTCCAAAAAAATTGTTTTTTGCTTAAATCTTGAGAACCAACCACTGGATCTTTTCCAGTGGGTCCTTAATGTCTTTTTAACTCAAAACTCTCTCTAAAAAAATTTCCAGTTTTTTTCAAAAAATTCCAAATTTTCAATTTTTTTGCGAAAAAAACCTCATAATCATATTTCTAGGGTCGAAATATACTACCCCTAAAAATATTTGCACTTATTTAAGACTCACCCTGTATAATCCTGAATCTATTTAATATTAAAAGGGACAAATATTTAAAACTACCATACGATCAGAATTTCCCAATGTCAATAGTACCCTTAGTAACTCCAAAATTATTAGCAGCAACAAAAATAACAGAAAAAAGCATACAATCAAAATAAAGGTGGTATGAAGAAACATAAGAATTGAAACAAGAACACGAAAACAAAAAAAAACATGTAAATTGAATATTAATAATGACTAGGCTCTGAAATATAATAAAATATCAGAACCAAAATCATAAAACACAGGAATCAATATAGCACAGGACAGATAAGAAAATAATAAATTTCGCAAAGTATCTACAAGGCATCATAAGAATGCAGTTATTATGAGTAATACTCCCCTGTTCAACAACCTAAATTTAAGAAAGACACTTAAGAATTGTTAAAATTTAAGAATTATTAAAAATCCGCCGAAGTAGATAATATAAATTGAATTGGTGATGGAAAAAAAGGAAGAATTAAATGAAAGCAATAAACATAGTACAGTTGACTGAATAATTGTAAAGATAAAAGGATAAGTCATCATTAAAACCCTGAAAGATATTAAAGTAACAATCTTCTAGACAATCAAAACAAATCAACAATTGAAGATATAAAATTAATTGGCCTACACAGAAGAACAGTATCTAAGAAAAATATCTATATTAACGTAGACTTACCACAACCACTGGGTCCCATGACGGCCAGGACTTGTCCAGGCCTGACAAGTCCGTCCACATCTTGGAGTATACTTCGTCCATTCACTGATACTGAGATGCCTCGAAACGCCAAATGGACAGGTAGAGGACGCTGGTCTGTTAGGAGGCATGGAAAATTAACAGCCGTTGAATCCACTCTGAAACCAAAAAAAAAATACTTGAGAAATTAGAACTATTTAAAGATATTCAATTAAGCTGTTAAATTACCTCGAATATTGGAGGCATTATTTGCCAAATTGACATATATTGATAATTTCTATGATTGTAGCTGATATGTAATTTGTTGTTTCTCTTAAACAAATTATACTATTTAGAAAAATATAAAATACACATTAAAGGATTGGATGGAGAACTAAAAGTGACGTACTTTTTGACTCGCTTGCATATTTAAAAATCATTTTAATTTTTAATAGGTACAGGGTGGGTCAAATTTGACGCTTTTAAATGGAAACACCCTTTTCTATAGGAGATAGACAAAAACTAATATCGGTGTCTGGAGCTCAATTTTTATCAAAAACATGATGGTGAAAACCGCATATCGATATCTGTTACCGTTTCGGAGTTACGGGATGTTTTTCAAAAATATGCATTTTTAACAAATCGCTGTAACTTTTTTGCTATGGAAAATTTTGTATTTTTATGAAAACATTTCCAAAGCACCTTTTTACGTAGAATTTAATGGTTTAAGTATATTTTTTTTTAAATTAATAATTTAAGAATTATGAGCAGAAAATTTGATTTTTATATGAGACACCCTGTATATTTTTAATATATTGAAAATAATTTAAAATTACCTTTCCAAAAATATAACACACTTGATATTTTGCTCGATTCCTCTTCGAGATATAGAGTATACAAAAATTCGCCCACTTTAAATAAGTAGGCTTTGAATGGCACCGGCTGTAATGCAAAAAAATTCTAGCTGTGAGCATCAAAAATAATATTTGCTATGAGAGATGCAGAATTTTATAACAATTTAAAATATATTTAACCAACATCAACACGTTTAAACTATATCTGATGACAATAAAAATAAATAGCAAACCAAGACAAGAGATTTTGCTGCAGGTGTTCGACCGTCTTCTGTTATATCGACCATCTTCTGTTATGGACAGACGGGGCCGTTTCTGAACATTTCTCGCGGAATTCATTAACTTAGTGGGGGTGAAAGAGACCCTCTCATAACTGCTAAGTATTTCTAATTCTTGTCTAGATTATACGGAAGAATAAGGAACCTTTATTCGTCCGCAAATATATCCATAGGATTAGATCCATGGGCACTAAGTCAGGTGGCCTCGACGGCCAACGGCTGGGATCTTGGTTAGCTCATCAATTGTTCTTAAAATTGGCTGCAAAATTTTGCTGATAACTTCAGGGTTCTGAGGCGGTGCCTCTTCTTGCTGGAAAAATATGTTTTCGAGTTCCATTAAGGGCATATCACCAATAAGGGGTCCAAAGCCTACTAGTTAAAAGTGGCGAACTTTTAAAAATTCTGTATTTCGAAGGAGAATATAACAAAATATCAAGTGTGCTATATTTTTGGAAAGGTAATTTTAAATTCTTTTCGGTTAATTAAAAATATAGAGGGTGTCCCAAATAAAAAATAAATTTTTCTGTTGATAACTCTTAAATTATTAATTTTAAAAAAATTATACTTATATCATTAAATTCTACGTAAAAAGGTGATTTGGAAATGTTTTCATAGAAATACAAAATTTTCCATAGCAAAAAAGTTACAGCGACTTGTTAAAAATGCACATTTTTGAAAAACACCCCGTAACTTCGAAACGGTAACAGATATTGATGTGGGGTTTTCACCATCATGTTTCTGATGAAAATTGAGCTCCAGACACCGATATTAGTTTTCGTCTATGTGCTATAGAAAAGGGTGTTTCCATTTAAAAGCGTCGAATTTGACCCACCCTGTACATATACCATCTTTTCTTCTGTACATTATTGCATTAGGCAACATATTATGTAAATTTATAGTTTTAGATTTGTAAGATACAAAAAAGGAAAGAAATATTGAAAGTAAGAAGCAAATTTTTCATCACATACTTTATCAGCAATCTAATAATGCATCACGCAATTTCGCAATTGACTTGAAAAATTCTTGCATACGATAAATCTAATATTAATAAATTATATGTATTTAAAATTATTGTACTTTAAGATAATATACGAACAAAATTAATAAGCAGTAATTTTAAATAATTAATCATATAAACATAATTCATAAATTATTTTCCCTTCATTCTACGTTATGAAACACATTCATCTATTTATTTTCCCATTCATAATATTTTATTTATGTGAAATTCAGTTAGATAGGAACGTTGCACAGACAAGATTAGGTAGCAGGAGATGTAAAAAATAAATAGAGATAAGGGATGATATCTTTTCTCGTGTAAAACATGAAATATGGTGTGCGCAACATACATTTATTTTTAAGAAATATAAATGCGTGTTTGTTTAAGGTGTTTACTAAAAAAATCATGTTGACATTTATATGGGGTGAGCCACGTTTTCATATGTTTCGTTTCGATGTTTGCTTCCAGACTTACGCTATCATAGCTGTAACTTTTTGGTGGTTTATTGTGTTGTGTTTCATTTTTAAGTAATTTTTTAATAAAATGTTATTTTTTGAATGTCTTAAATTATATTGCGTTAGATTTTTTTCCTCTTTTGATCTCTAGGTTATATTCTTCAGGTCTACTAAACCCTCCCTATAGCTCTTTGTCAATTGCTTATCATTACAATCAACATCGCCTTCATCATCATCATTATCAGCTTATTCAACCATTTCCAATTATGGTGTAGCCTCCCACACATATTTAGATACTTTCTTTGTAGTTGGGTCCATTGTCGTCTATTTTTGGCTATGCGGGTCCAAGTTATCCCTGCTAATTTCCTAATATCATAGTCCCATCTCAGGTTTCGGTCTTCTTCTATATGCTGTAATTTTTGTGGTCCATCTGTTCTCTGTCCTTCTTGCCAGGTGTCCTGTCCATTGCCACTTGAGAGATTTGACTCTGTGAATGACATCTATTACCTGGGTCTTTTGTCATATCCACTCTATTCTTTTACGGTCTTTCTTGGTTATTCCCAGCATATTTCGTTCCATTGAGCTTTGTAAGACCTGCAGTTTCCTTGTAATATCCATATTAAATGTCCAGGTTTCGCATGACAGGTAGGACACATTGATTGAATATTTTCTTCTTTAGATAAAGTGACATTCTGGATTTGAATATGATTGAGTTTGTTTCATAAGCACTCCACGCTAACTTAAGTTTTCTGTTGATTTCTGCTAGTAGAGATCCCGAGCATTGTACAGGTTGTCCCAAATATCTATACAAATATATAAAATCCTTAAGTGACTGACTCACGGATTAATCACGATCCTGCTCAAACCACTCAACGTAAGAAGCTCAATTTTGGCATACAGGTTGATTCTAGGGTGTAGAGGTTCGATAAGAAGGGATTTTTCGAAATGCCAGTTCCAAGGGGGTGAAACTAGGGGATTCAATCCCGGGATTTCGGGATTCCGGGATTTTTAAGGTTGTATATGCAAAAACTCTTTTAGTTGAATTCTTCTAGTAGCAAACCTCTTAAAACGACTATATATAACAAGTAAAATCATAATAGATTCTTCAGATAGTTCGGAATCGGATGAAGATTTGCCAATTGCTACTATTCAGAACAGGGATCAGGCCTTAAATGATGTCGTGTCATTTTCGGAGAGGCTAGATTAATCGTTAACCAAAAAAATGTCAAATCGAATGACAGTGCCACCAGTAACAAAAACTGAAAACTTGGAAGCCCAAATAAAAAATGAAATGGATACGTTCCAGAAGAGTGGACAACGTGGAACAAACTTACAACTAGCTTTTGATTTTTTAAATACAATACCGCCTACAAGTGTAGAATCGGAAAGGTGTTTTTCGTCAGCATGCTTGATAGTTACAAAATTTCGTTCTGCTATGGGAGATGACACAATAGACAATATTATATTTTTGCGTTATTTTTTTAAAAATATGGAATAATATTATCAGTCCAGTTTTTTTTGTTTTGTTTCAGATTTTTAATTTTTGTTTAATGTTGTTTAAGAAGAATATTTACTTACTTTTGTGTTCCAAAGATTTTGTTTTTGTTTTAACTAATTAACGTTAATTTTAATAAAATGTTCTTTGAAAGTAACATTCGTAACATTATTACTGAAATCCCGAATATTCGAATATTACTGGATCCCGAGATTCGGGGTTCAGAATCCCGGGATCCCGACAACATAAAATTGTCCGGGATTGAATCCCCTAGGTGAAACCACCTCTCAAATATTACAATATTTTTTATTAAAAAAACGGTCAAGTTTCCGAAAAAACGCTTAAACAAGTATATTTTATTTTGTTTTTTACATATTTTAAGATTTTATAAAAATGTATACAGGGTGTTTTGAAAAATCTGGTCATTGATTAATCACGATCCTGCTTAAAGCGCTTGACGTAAAAAGCTGATTTTTGGAAAACAGATTAATTTTAGGGTGTACAGGTTCGATAAGAAGGGATTTTTCGAAACTCGAATTTTAAGGGGGTGAAACCACCCCTCAAATATTCGAATATTTTTTATTTAAAAACCGGTGAGTTTTTCGGAAAAACTCTTAAACACGTATATTTTATTTTGTTGCTTTACCTATTTTAAGATTTTTTAAAAATGTATACAGGGTGTTTCATAAAATATGACCATTGAGTAATCACGATTCTGCTTAAACGGCTTGACATTTAAAGCTGATTTTTGGTAAACGGATTGACTGTGGGGTGTAGAGGTTCGATAAAGAGGGATTTCTCGATTGTTTTTTCTCATGCTGATATAAATGTGAGAAAATTTTATCCAGTATATATGTTAATGGAAATTCTTGCTTTGCTTTATCATCACCATTACAAATGATTAATTCGACGCGAACGAAGTCGGGGGTACACGCTAGTATTTATATTTATATATTCTTCTACTATTTCCAGTGTTGTGTTATAATATAAAATGTGTTAAAATATATAAAACTTCCTGATATAAAAGGAGTTATATTTGTTAGGTATTGGAAGCTACCTAAAGATGCGTATTCATTATCCGAACGAACGAACGAAGA